ATTATCCCAACCAAAACCTTAATTTCAACATTGATAGATGTATACATAAATACACAACTTCTATAGCCCATTTTACAATATGGATGCTAATTAATTTTATCAAGCATAAATTGTCCATTTAGACAAATAATAATATTGATATTGTCAAACAAAATTTAAATTTAATTAAATATTGCTTTACGCTAATAACTAGAGATCAGGCATGGCTAATGCACATGTAACCAAGACAAATGATAAAGTTTGTCGATGAAGCTTCTCTTAAGAATGCGAATCCAGTCACTGCATTGTTGACTGCTTTCCTTAGCCTTGCACTGACTCTCATGTTAAGCGCACATGCGCTTAATGAACTCGGTAGTCGGTTCACAGTAACACCGTAACCGTGAGTTCGGGAGTACTGCACACTCATCGAAAAATTTGGGAAAAAAATTATGCGGATCTTATATATGATAATGAATTAAAAATTTATGTATATCTTATGTATTGAAATGGCTCAGATCCCTATCTCTCTTAAAGCTCAGAAAAAATCATCAGCGTTATTATTTTTTTATGTGGGAATGATAATATATAATTAATTACAAATTTCGCCTGATCTACTTATCCTCCACTGCCTTAACCATGGATAGAGGTGATCTCGGGCTTCCATCAATTGACACTCTTGGCACTCTTTCTGAAGTTTAAATTATTTGGAGATTCTACAACACTTAAGCCTCCTTTTTAAGAATGGTGTCGAAAGGCCTATGGGTTGACTCTCAGAGGGATCGTAGTTGAGCGACAATGGTCGGAAGGACCGTAGTCGGGCGATGATGGTGGGAAGGACCGTAATTAGGCGATGGTGGTTGGATGGACCGTAGTCGGGCGATAGTGGTCGGAGGGACTGTAGTCGGGCGACAATAGTAAAAAAGAAAGAAGTCTGTGGGCAACGGTGGTCAGAAGGATTGTAAACGAAAGATGGTGGTCGGAAAGACCGTAGTCGGACGACATTGGTGGTTAGAAGGACTGTAGTCGTGCGACGGTGGTTGGAAGGAACGTCAATGCCTACTAGATGGGGATCCGATGGCAATGATCGAGTGGAGATTTAACAACGGCAGGCTAGTGACGCGGATTTCCCAGAGTGGAGCTTCATAATTCTCTAAGCCCAAAAGCCTTTTTCTCGTCTCCCTCCTCCCACCATGTAAGAAATGAAGGGTTTAATTATTATTTTATAGGAGTGGCATGCCTCATAAATAAAAAGAATATCAATGACATGTTGGAAGTGCTCCAACGGACGACTCATGTTGATCCCCTTGATAGTAGAGTGTTTATCAAGCATTTATGTGCCCAAATGATGTCAGAGTTAGAATCGTCTCGTTAAGCCTCTTGATTTGACTTAAGCATGCTATATTTTGGATATCATTTGATCATCCAATTTATGATTTGAAGTTTCCATTTGTATTTCGCGCCCATAATTTCGACCTATTTAGGCTTAGATTGGATCGATTTTGGTTTCATTGGGTTAGTCTCTTCGAGATGTTTAGTTTGATTATAAATTTGCTGAAATCAGAGTTCAAATTGCCCCAGATTTAATTTAGAAAATTTTCGATTCATATTTACTTCAAGATTCGTACTTGATTAAGATAATTTTTTTATAACATATCAATAATATTTCATATTGATGGTTGGGGAAAGATTCTTTCTTTAACAAAAAGCTTATTACAATATTAACCAGGCTATTAATTCCTAGGTTTCTTTTTAAGCATAAACACACATGGTTTAAAGACATGATTAGCCTATCAACCATGCTTTTCTTGTTTGAAAAATCATTAGGGGATCTTTCCAAAAGAGGAATTATTATTGATGAAACCTGCGGACTTTGTGCCCATTTCAAAGAAAGTCATCATCACCTATTCTTTGACGGACAGTGTTAAGTTTGCCATGAAACATTCAATTCAGTGCTTGTCGAGAAACATTCAACTGTTGTATTTCTCTTAAGCAGTATTTCGTTCCAACTGCGTTGTAATTGTTTGTTTTCATTCCATCTATGACGCTCCTATTTCGGTCAATTAAGTCATATTCATACACACATCATATATATAAAGTCAAATCTAAGACATATTTGTTGATAGCCAAAACTTTCAACCAACAAACTAATATGAGACTCATGAAAGGCAATTATCAGTGATATTGATTTTTTTGATGTGACTTTGTGGGTTAGTCTGAGCCTTATAAGTTTGGTTTTTGAGCATCTTTTTCTTTCTTTTTGATCTACTAACATGCTATCTTTCTTGTTTGGTTAGCCACTTTTAGTGATATGTTATTCATGTTGTAATTGTTGTTAATTATTTAATGAATGATGGGCATGACCTCGCCCAAACATTTTACAACGGTAGAGTTTATATTTAATATCTATGTTTTGAACAAAATTCTAATATGCGTAAAAAAACTATAAGAAATTAAAAGCTTGTTATATGCAAAACCCAAGAATGGGAAAAATCATAGGGCCTCTTGGTTGCAATAAGTTCGGCTTGTCAAGACTTAGGTTCCGTTTGGGACGGCTTTCTTACTGCTTCTTAAAACAGCTTTTTAGTACAAAAATTAAAATTTTTGCACTAGAAAGCTGCTTTAAGAAGCAATAAGAAAGTCATCCCAAACAAAACCTTAATCTTCGATTGGAACAACTTTCTTATTCCTTATTAAAGCAGTTTTTTAGTACAAAAATTTGTACTAAAGAGCTACTTCAAATTTTTGTACTAATAAATTGCTTTAATAAGCAATAAGAAAGTTGTCCCAAAGAAGCCTAAATTTGTTAAAATCATAGTTTTTTTATCATAGAGTTAATTATTAAAGTTTTCAATTCAAATATCACATCTAGGTTCGTGCTAACCAAAAAAATTATATAGAGATGAATTAAATATTATATATATACATATATTATTTATAATATAAATTTTAAAATAATTAATAACTTTTAAAGTTATCCTGAGTTAAATAATATCAAGATATCCTCAATTTTCTTAAAAAAATATCTAAAGAAAAATTTTAGTTGGGATTTTATTTTATTTAAATGATTCAATTAAAAATAATAATAAATGGTCGGATAAATTAAGAAATAAGTGGTTGGATCATATAATTTTGAATAATGCTATATTCCTCCAATCTCTAATAAAAATATCTTTGATGTACTGAAACATATGAATAAAGCTATCGTTATATTATTAAAACTATTTTTTTATTATTCTTTTTTTTAATCTTATCATATGAGCACTATGCAAATTATCAGAAAATTTAAAATTTATTTTGAATTTTGAGTAAGCTTTGTAGATTTTTATTTTTATTTTGGTGAATTTGACTTCTCAGCATTAACTTTTAAGTTCGGCACAGCCAGCTAAAATTTAGATTTTTTTTTTCTTTGAAAAGCATGTAAACCAACAAGGCAACATGCAAATTTTTTTTTTTTCTGCATTTATGTTGTGGGCCGAAGTATAATTACTTTTATTTGTATATGTCTTTATTTGAATTTAATTATTGCCTTCTAAAATAAGATCCTAATTAAGCACCAACAATTAGGTCATCAGGAAGAGAACTCTAACAGGAATTTTGTTTGGGAAAAAACTTGTATAATAACAAAACTTCCTGATTAAAAAATATGCATATAAAAGAAATGGTACGTTTAATGAACAATTCGACTCATTCGTATATCAATATTATTGGTAATGTTATGAGGCAAAGTCGTGTGGCAGTGATCAGATAATGATAGTCAAGTGATAATGGTTTGATAATAGTAGTTAGAGAATTATGATCGGGTGATGTTGTTAGTTGATGATGATAATGATTGACATGCAATTGTGGTTAGATGATAATGGTTAGTAAATTGTAGCTAAGTGACGATGGTTAGCAAGATAATTGTGATCAGATAATTTGTTAGATGATTGTAGTCGCACAATTATAGTTAAGTTTACTTTAATTTTCACTTCTGAATAATATTTGAGTCAAAGTATTTTGATTAAATATTTGGGAGAATTACATGCATGACATCTAAAATTTATTTATTTATAAACTAGCACAAAAATTATTATGTTTCACTATTAAACTCATATATTTATATATAAACTCATATATTTATATATGTTATGATCAAATTATTAGAAATTTGATAAAAGTGAAAATAATAATTGGACTTTATTGTAATTTAAATGTTTGATAATTTGAGAAAAGAATGCTTGTGAGTGTTAATATTGTAAGCAACTCAGATTTATGATCTATTTGGGATGACAACATTGTTTTACTAAAATGGTTGTAAAGTTATTGTTAAAAAATGTATTTTTGAAAGCTATTGTGAATATTATAAATATATTTTTTAATTGAACAATTTTTTTAAACTATATCATATATTGATAATTCTAGTTATAAAATGTAACTTTCAATCATAAAAATTTCTAAAAAAATAGAAAAAATCAATCAGAAATCAATAATCAAATGACACTATAAATGTAGTTTGAAAACCAAACTAGCAAAAAAATGTTTCAAATAAACGTCATAGTATGTGCATATTTCTCCCAATAAATGTTAGTAAGAATTTAAAATAGGAATAAATACTATTGAATTTGTATTAAAATAAATATGATATAATAGAAATAATTCGTATTTATATCATATTTATTTTATAAAAAACATAATAATTTAATAATTTATTATAATCTTAAATTTGATCAGCCATTTTTTTTTATTTCCCAAAATTTCATCCGTCCACTTGCCCGTTTTGCCACGCAGTCGGCCAGTCGAGGAACTTTTATTTTATCCGGTGAACGTACGCTCCTCTACGGTACAACTCGGTACTCGGTATTGCGCTGTTTTGATCTAAAACCGAACGTAGAGGAGCGTACGTTCACTGGATGTAATAAAAGGCAACGGCTACAGCGGACGAGGGCATTTCAGGAACAAAGCCGATGGAGGGCATATCGGGAATAAACGTGTCGATTAGGGAAGTTTCGACAACTAGGAATTCTGGATTCTTAAAAGCTGGCCGAAACGCAAGTGGGTCGAAAGGCGAAACGCAAAAAGAGTTCCTACGCCGCTGGATTCTCCCGTTTGCTTTCACCGTCGTCGTTCTCATTTAAGACCTCTCTGTAAAAGGAAGAGATTTGAGAGGAAAGATAAGAGGGGAGGCTGTAAGGGATGAAGAGGCGCGGTTTAACACCGAGCGTTCTCACCGTCTTTCGGCAGTGGCTAACCTGTGCCATCGCGTTAATCTGCCTAGGCTCGCTTTTTGCCGTACATGTGTTCCCGTCGTCGAGGGTGCCCGTCTTTCCTGATGCATTCAAGCTCTACAAGGTTGCGACATGGGCTGTACTATCTCTCTCCCTGACGGGTTTAAAATCTGCTTTTCTGTGTATTCTCGATTAGTCTCTGTTTTTTCAGGGTTGGGGCAATTTTTCATGGATTTAACTAGGGGTTGGGAGGTTTCATTGTTGTTAATAACGTGGGTTTTGTGTTGATTGGCAGCCGGAGAACGGATTTCGGAGTTGGAAGAGTGAGCTGAGGTGGGTACAGGAGCAGTCGCCGCCGCAGCTCTCAAAGGTGCCGTCTTCACCTATGATGGTGGGTGATGCAAGCGGAATACCTCTTGTTGTTGTAAATGGATGCTTTTTTTTTTTTTGGCACTTGACGTTTCTACTTTGAGGTTGTGGATTGAATTTGCCGTTCTCAGCTTCGAGATTTAATCTTTTTTTTACTAAATCCGCGGTTGCGTACGAAGTTATTGTAAGTTTATCTAACTATACTTGTTTTTTTCATGCCTCACTATTGCAGATTAAAAAGGTGGACAATTTGAATGAAATTTCGGATTTTAAGCAGCTATGGCAAGCACCATCAAGCCGTGATTTTGTGCAGTGTGTCTCACCTAACCCATCCTATTCATGTAAAAAAGCATTATCCTGTTTGATTTGTGTTTTTTTTCCAAATTGCTTTTATTTGTGCATTTTTACTGATTTATCATTGTGCATCAGCTCCCGGGGAGTCAAGGGGCTACCTTGTTGTTTACACCAATGGTGGATTAAACCAAATGCGTGCAGGGGTATGTCATGACTTACCTACCTTATCCCTTCCATTTCTGTTTTGCAGTTGCTTTCATACGCCTGATGCAGTGTCTCAAGGTAAGAATGTAATTGGCTTGTTAGGGAGTAAGAAACCAAAGGGAACTGAAGTAGCCAAATAGCCATTGATTTAATTTGTTTTAAACTAGAAAGTTTAAGCTTTTGGATGAGTTTCGATTATTTTGTATTTTTACCCCTATATATTTTTCAAATGTCATATTTGTGATTGAACCGAAGTATTCATTGTTCAAAATTATTTTATAAACACAAAAGCTTAAAGTTATGAGTGAAGGCCAACCATTTGGTAATTATACACTAAAATATTTTTTAGCTATTTAAGGTTGAACTAAACTCAAAGCTTTAGGTGCCTTAGTATTTGGCCTTAGCCTTCATGATAGGATGGAAGTTTTTAGATAGTTTTTAGACTAGATTGTAGTTGCTTAGTTGATCATATGAATGTTATCCTACTCAAGTTTCCCTGTTCCTGTGGTTTGCTCTGCAATTTTGAGGAATGCAGAAATTCTTCGCAAGCTTCTTCTTTTGTGAAAGCCCTCAGTCTGCAAGTTTGTATTGTTCAGTCACTTATTGCTCTTCTAAATAACAATCTCAGAAATAAAACGTGCAAACTTACCTTCCCAGATGTAAGATCATATGCTGTTCCATTCATGGCACTAGATGCATCATAATGACATTACGCCTAAGGCCTTCTCCAGTCGAATGCCAAATGCCAAATCTTCCGCTATTTGCTTGCGGGTGAACAGTGCGACCCCAATATTGGCGTCGCACTGATCACCCAGTATATGTTTTTTTTTTTTAATTCAAAAAATTGGTTATTAATTTTAAAATTTTAAATATGAGAAAGAATATACTAGGAATATTCTCTTTTTGATGTTAGAAAATAGAGTTTTGTTGAAGATAAGTTACTGCATATTAGTGTATTACTATATTTTGTAGTGAAAAATAAGTTTTTTCGGTTGGAGATGCCCTAATACATTCGTCTGATTTATATGACCAAATAGTAGCAGCCGTCCAAATCTGAACTCTCTAGAGGTGATTTGATTGTTTTGAAGAAAGTCAAATTATTTATTTCTATTTGAACTGTTATTAAAAAATAGATTTTCAAGTAATATGTTCTTCAAATAAACACAAACACATGCGATGCTTGAACTCAAAAGTTGGAAGAGTCCTATGAAACCTTTTAATGAACTTATTTATTTTCTTTTCATAGTTCTTGATGTTTTCATTGTCATGATATTATTTTTATTTCAGATATGTGACATGGTTGCTGTTGCACGAATCATAAATGCTACACTTGTTATCCCTAAACTTGATAAAAGATCATTTTGGCAAGATTCAAGGTTCTTTGCATTTAATTTTTCCATCTCATGTTTTTTTTTTTTTTTTTTTTTTTTTTTTTTTTTTTTTTTCAGATTTCATCCTATTGTAACATATAAATTTTTTTACCACAGTAAATTTTCAGATGTATTTGATGAGGACCATTTTATCAGTGCTTTGGCAAATGACGTTCGAATTGTGAAGAAATTGCCAAAAGAATTGAAAGCAGAAACCAAAGCGTTTAAGCATTTCATAAGTTGGTCTGGGATGGACTACTACCAAGACGAGATATCTCATCTTTGGGATGATTATAAGGTTTGACATTACTAGATGTAGAGCTCTAACTTCCAATGGTGTATTCTATAAATTAACTTGACGCAAAACTTTCGCACGTAGGTTATCCAAGCGGCTAAGTCAGATTCTCGTCTTGCGAATAACAAATTGCCTCTTGACATTCAAAGACTCCGTTGTCGTGCTTTCTATGGCGCTCTTCGATTTGCTCCTCATATTGAATCTCTTGGGAAGGTAGGGAGCTCTTCATATACTATATCTCAAGCATTTTGGGTTATTTTGAGAAGCATTTAATGCTGATGATGCATTTCTGTAGTTATTGGTTGAGAGGATGAGATCACATGGTCTATATATTGCTTTACACTTGCGTTATGAGAAGGACATGCTGGCCTTTACTGGGTGCACATATGGATTGTCGACTATTGAAGCTAACGAATTGACTTCGATGCGGTAGAATTTTCCTGCAATTTTTTCATTTAGTATTATATTGGTTTTTACGAAAAAGATTCATGTAGCCGACCCCACATAGTGGGACAAAGGTTTGATGTTGTTGTTGTTGTTATATTGTTTTTTGATGTTTAAGGTTTATTAGTTTATACTGACAAAGTTTATTCCTATTATAGAGAAAACACATCATATTGGAAGGTGAAGGATATTGACTCGAAAGAGCAAAGGAGCAAAGGTTATTGCCCATTAACTCCAAAGGAGGTTGGGATGTTTCTTTCTGCATTGGGATATCCATCAAACACTCCCATCTATATTGCTTCAGGAGAAATATATGGTGGTGATTCTCAAATGGCTGAACTGAAGTCCCGCTTTCCTTTATTGATGAGTAAGGTACGTTACATGATAATATCTCGTTTTTTATTCTATTTTTGTTTCTTTCTTGGCCATCTTTTACATTTCGTTTGTTATGCTGTAAACCAATATGTACTTGATCATGTTCTTTGATTAGAAAGCTTTCACTGTCTAAAGCATGTTGTTTATAAGCAACCAAATGGCCCCTTAGCCTGGCCTAAAGCCCTCGATCATTCATTTATGTGCCACTTATTGTTCCAATCAACCAAGGATGCAAACCACCCTTTAACCTTTGTCTACAAGGCCAAACTTTTCATTCTCTTAGTGTTCCTGATTGCCTATCAAGACAAAAAATTAATTTAGAAAGAACATTTTAGAAGACTGAAATTTGCTAATTTTATCATATGATTTCACATAATTAAAAATCAACATGAATTTAAGCTCTATCTGTTCAAAACACAAAACTGAGTGAATGAAATCATTATTTTCTTAAAATATTATTTAAAACCACAGGCCACCGAAGGAGCAGTCAGAGAAGTGCTTTGAAGCCTAATGAAGCTGTTGAAAGCTCATATTTTCTTACTTTGACTACTACTTATGTTTGCTGTTTAGTTAGAAATATTGTCATATGTATTCTTGCAAAATGACTCTTAAGTGTTGTTGACATCATATCATTAAAGAGAGGCTAATTTGCTATTCCTTCATTCATTTTCAGTCTGAGTTTCTTTTGTAAGATGCCCATTCTTCCATGAAGTTGATGTCTTACCTTTGATTTATTATTCTGTGCTGAGTCCGAAGGGCGTCCGAAGTCTAATAAAAATGCACCACATCACCGCTTAACCGGACGGGAGAACCGTCTGGTGTCCGCACAGAATAATAGCTCCTTTCCTTCAATTGTTCTTACCTTCAATTGTTTTTTCAGGAAACAATAGCATCGGTTTCTGAGTTGGAACCTTTCGTTCATCACGCATCACAAATGGCTGCCTTAGACTACATTGTGTCAGTAGAGAGTGATGTTTTTGTTCCATCATATTCAGGGAATATGGCGCGGACCGTGGCTGGTCATCGCCGATTCCTGGGCCACAGGAAAACAATATCCCCTGACAGGTTGGCCTGATTTTATGTCCCCAGCATTTGCAACCATACAAAAAGTATACTTCAAAACTTCTCAAATGTCTAAATTTTATTCCTATACAGGAAAGCACTTGTCCAGTTGTTTGATAAGGTCAAGGAGGGCAAACTTGTGGAAGGCAAGAGATTCTCTGACATGGTTATGGAAATACATAGAAGAAGGTATGATCAACATTCTATGTATTCTTATTTATTTGTTTGGTTTCTTCAATGCTTAATCTCCATATTTGACTGTGTAAACAGGCAGGGTTCTCCTAGGAAGAGGAAAGGACCCATATCAGGAACAAAGGGTAAGGAGAGATTTAGATCAGAAGAGGCATTCTATGAAAATCCTATACCAGATTGTTTATGCAGAATAGGAAGCTTAGGTGCGACGAACTCGGTTGTTACCATGTAGATATACAAACACGAATAGGTCGTTTTTGGTGGAAGATACAACAACAACATCAAGCCTTTATCCCACAATGCGGGGGTGGAAGATAGAGTTGCAAAAAAGAGTACGTTGGACTTAAAAACTATTGAATTTATTATGAGATTAGTTCAATATAAAATTATAAATTCAATAGTTATTAAGTCCATTCTGACACAATTTGTATTGAAATATCCTCACATAAAATTTTTCCTATAAGAGTGAGCTTCAAGATCTCTTGTTCTTTTTGTTGGATTATATTAGAAGCGAGATGCCGTTGTATATTGTTGAGTGCGGTAGCTTGTAGATGAAAAGGTATTATAGATGAATAATGATGGGATCACATGTATTCCTTCTGTAAGTTTTTTGAATGCAGTGATATGGAATAAAATAAGAATACAATTAGTGAAATATGTTCTCGTGAAATATTTTAGCTGTTTTACTCGCATATTGTTCAATCGAGCACTTCTGTCAAGATGGGAAACGTGAAGGAGATGAGCAGTTGGCATTGAAGGGATTAGTGCATGCATGTGAGCTTTTCTTTTGAGATGGAATAAAGGCATTTGGATTTGAATGCCTGAGGGCATTTCTTTTGTTTCAACGCATATTGTAGTTGATAGTTATATCACAAAGAATCGAAATACTCTCTCTCTCTCTCTCTCTCTCTCTTTCTCTCTCTCTACAATAATAGCTGATGCTGACTTGTTAATCATTGAAAATATAATGTAATGGATTTTTGTATTTATAGACTTCGAGTTCAATTGATATTTGTTTGCTGGGGATAAGACATTTTGTCAGGTATTCTATCAGCATCCGTTCAGGATACTTAAACGACACAGCTCATCTTGGCTTGTTGGTTGAGAGCTTATGCTTCCAACTAAGAGGTCTTGGGTTCGAGTCTTTGTGAATGCGTTGTGTGTATGAGTTTGCCTTAAATGGCCTAAATGTCCAAAAAAAAAAAAAAATACTTAAACGAGTTGAATTGAAGTCTTGTCCAATCCTTCAGTTAACTCCAACAATTGAATCAAATGATAAGTCTTTTTCATGTAATGTCAAATTTCATTGACATGATTTTTTTTTTTTTTTTAAAAGCTGTTATCAGATGAAGTCAAGAGCAAATGAAAAGTCTAAAAACTTTACTCTGACTAATCTCTAAAGCTTATAGGAAATAATTGAATGAGAATTCTCAAGAAATTCTGACCGGATCAAGCATCGATTGATGCTGTCATTAATAATTTATTGAGTTACTAGCAACTATGTCAGCTCAACACTCAAAACCTAAATGCGAGATGTCAGAAGGTGTTGCTACTTCATCAATGATGAGCATTAAGACCCCGATGAGTCAAAAATTGTATCTTGATTGGGGTGTTTGGTTGCCTCCAAAGGAAGGATAAAGTATTTCAAAGATAGGGGTTTTGAAAATATTAAAGTTTGGTTTGAAATAAAATAAATGCAAAGTAAAATTTTGATGTATTTAAAATTCAACATCTAGTTTATTTTGCATATTTTGAATTCCTTCAATTTGGAAAAGTTTCAAATACATAAAAAATTCATTGCAACCACCGGCGCTCACCATAGCCCCACACAAGCACTTGACCACCACCGCCCACCTTCTCCAGCCTCAGTTGGCCACCATTGATGGCGGCCCCCATCGATCACTAATGGCTATCGTCTGTCGCCATCAACCACCACCACCACCTGTCGCCACCGATCATCGTAGTCTGCCACCACCACTACAACACCCACTGCTGTCCACCATTGCCGGCGCCAAACATTTTCGTCGCTGTTATCGCCACCGCTACCGTTGCTCACCACCACCCATTACAATCGTCGCCGTCGGCCACCGCCACCGTCAATGTCAGCCGCCTACCACCACTCTATTTGCATTTTACACGACATTCATTTTACTTCTAATGAATATATATATATATATATATATATATAATACATTCATTTTACACTCATCCAAACAATTTCAAAATATTCATGTTGCGTTCTGAAGTATTCGAGGCGATAGAGAAAAATAAAGCTTAACATCTTAGCATTGTACGAAGATCCAGTACATACATAGATATAGAGATAGGGTGCAACATTTAAAGGAGACATAAAGATTTTTATATGGAAAACCCCTGAATAGGGGGAAAAACCACGGGACTAGCCCAGTTTAAATGAATCAACTAGTATTGTAGTTGATTACAAATGAGGCACTTCCTTAGGGGAAGGCTTTAGCTTGATGTACATCTTATAGAGTACATTACATGATAAGAATACAAAGAATCCCAGTTGATGTGTTCGCTTTGTTGGAAGGACTGTAGTCGGTGGGCGACGTAAGTCAAGAGGACCGTAGTCGGCTAGTGACGGAGGTCAGAAGGACTGTAATCAGTGAGCAACATAAGTCAAAAGGACCTAGTCGGCTGGAGACAGAGGTCAGAAGGACTGTTGTCTCGCGACGAAGGTCAGAAGGACTGTGTCAGGTAGAATCCAGCAATGGACGGAAATCCAACATCAGATATATGTCTGGCGAAAATCCAACATCAGGTAGAAGTCCGACGTTGGGTAGAACTTGGCGACGAGCAGAGGTTTGACGTTGGGTAAAAGTCCAACATACGTTGGCGGTCGAGGAGAACTAAGGCGTTAAATGGCATTCGGGCAGAACTCCGGCGTCACTTGGAGTTCTGGTGAAACTCCGGCGTCACTTGGAGGTCGGGCGGAATTCCGGCGTCACTTGGAGGTCGGGCGGAATTCCGGTGTCACTTGGATAGAATTCCGGCGGTGGTTGTCGAGGAGAAGTTCTTCCCTCCTATCCTTCTTCTCTTCTCCTTCTCTTGCTTAGGCCCCGCTTCGGCCTCCCTCTCAAGAGAAATGAGGGGTCTATTTATAGATTTCTGGAGTAGCATGGTCTATCAATAGGTGAGAGATCAGGGGCGAATCGGGAGTGGTTTGAATGGATGACTGATATTGAATCCCTTGATTGTGGACCATTCGTTAGACATTTGAAGGTCTTAATGATGTTAGAATTCAGCGATCTTAGGCTCATTGGATTCGTCTCGTCGAGCCGCTCGATTCGACTATAAGCACATCATGTTTGGAAACCGTTTGGTAACTTAAATTGTGTTTTGAACCTTCCAACAGTGCTTCGGGTCCTTGATTTGGACTCATATTGAGTCGATTTTGGTGTCGTTGGGTTCGTATTTCCAAGACGATCAGTTCGACAGTAAGTTAGCTGAAATCGAAGTTCATATGATTCCAGAATTAATTTTTGAAGTCTCCAACTTGATTTTTGCCTCGAGATTCGAGCCCGATCAAGATAATTTTTTGAGGATATATCAATTCCATTTACATTGCATTATTTTTTGCTTAACCTGATAGCCCCTAAAGAAAAAACTCAAACCATGAACATCAAGATTTCAATGGACATTAATTGAAGAAAATTTTGATTTGGAGTCACTAAATCTCATGTAAATATGTTTGATGGATGTTAGTAGAATATCTAAGCACAAAATTTATCATACCATTTGTAGTAGGAATATATATTTTTGAATACTTTATTTATCATGATAATTAACAAGTAATGTTTGTGTCTAGAATTATCTATGTAGAAGGCTTTCCTTAGTTTTTGGGTCAAATAATTGAAGATTTAAAGGTGATCTCATCTCTAGAGAAAGTATGGACTCTTTGCTCTTACAATGTGAAGTATGATTTCCTCCGCTCCAAATCTTGAGGGCATGCTTCATGTATTTCTTAAGAGTTTTTCTTGTCTTTGGAGTTAGAACTTGAAGGCATGCTTGATTTTAAAGGTGTGGAAAATGATAGGAATATGCTAATACTGATAATTATAAGGAGTAATTTGAGTTTGGTGGGTGATTATTGCTTAGATAATGGATGCTTGTTGGTGCATATGAGTCATTAAAATCCATAAATACCCCCAATTAGGGAAGAACATATGTGAATGAACTAAATTAGCTCCTTTTGTTATATTATTCTCCTAAAATTTAGGCATTAGATTCACATCATAATATCCTGATATATGATTGTCTAATTGTTCTACTAGGTGATTTCACTCTCCTGAAAAAAATGAGAGTTAAAGACAATCTAATCTACCTTTTTAATAGAGTTAGTTTGCACAGTCTAAATCTAATAAAAAAGGATTAAATTGCTCAATAACTATCTATATGAAAACATTTTAGACTTCAGTTGAGACAATTTTTTACTGTTTTATAAAGCAATTTGATAGTATACTTTTTTTTTAAAAGTAATGAAAAAATAATGATAAAAAACTATCTCAAACAAAACTTTAGTCTCAATAATTTAATATATTCAATTTAATCATTTTAAGTCCTGAAATATGATCTAAAATAAGATATACTTAAGAAACCAATGAACTATTTTGAATCAATTTTTAAAACCAATGAATTAAATTAAATATATAAGGCAATTTGAGACAAAAATGACACTCATAAACTACCTACAAATTATTTTAACCTTTGAACACATAGCCATCAACTTTTTTACATAATTTTTTTTTGGTATGTTGATTGAGAATATTAACAACCAATTACGATGTCTTATGTTCAAATCTTTTGTGTATATGATGTGTGTGTAAATTTATCTTAATTGACCTAAATATTTACACACACATCATATTCTCCTTGTTGATAAGACTAGAGAGGGAGTTGAAGGTAAACTTGAATTATGGAGGTCAACCTTAGAGTCTAAAGGTTTTCGCTTGAGTAGATCTAAAACGGAATATATGGAGTGTAATTTTAGCAGTAATAGTCCTAGTGAGGGGATTGTGACTTTGGGCGATCAAGTCATTAATAAGAGTACACATTTTAGATATCTTGGATCTATTGTTCATGAGAATATTGACAACCAACTACGAGGTCTTAAATTCAAATCTTATTTATATGATGTATGTAAATTTATCTTAATTGATCTAAATGTAAAAAAAAACCTTCTGAACACGGTTGATGCATTTTACATAGAGATACACTATTTTTCAGAAAAAAAAGTCAAAATAAAATTTTCTGAAATTTAATGAGTTTTCAAACCATAGGCAATACTCATGCATCGTTATCATATCTATTTCATCAAATATATTGCGATCTTCCAAGGCACCCAATAGCGAAAAAAATTATATCCAGGGGCCCCAATGGTCATAGAGTAAGGCATCATTTGGGACGACTTTCTTATTGATTCTCAAAGCAATTTTTTAATACAAAGATTTTCCTTTTGTACTAAAAAACTGCTTTAAGAATCAACCAAAAAGTTATCCCAAACAAAACCTAAGATTACATTCACAACTCCAAAGTTGGGTAATATCTCACATAACACTACATATATGAAGAATATATTGTTCTGAAGCAATCTGTAATAACATTCGTTCTTCTCAAGAATTATAGCAAATCTGAACTATTGCCTCTTCAAAGTTCGGGAAACCAAGAACATATTTCAAGTATTTCACAAATGCGAGAACAATCTCAACAGTTTACACTTCACAAAAGAAGCCACATAAAAAGTAAATCAGAGATAAATAATACTTATTAAAATGCTTGCATTCAAATGTAGGCATTGCATCCTGCAAACCATATCGAGCATCATAGCTAAAGGTTTATAAGATCGAAAAAGCTAAACAGGCATGGAAGCAATTGCAGTCATTGATGTCTTAACCCTCTAAGCCTCAAAAAGATTAAGAAAAAAAATATTTAGCCAATAATCTGGAATATAAGCCTCAATTGGTTTGACTATCACTCCATAAATTTATGTCTGGTGGGGATATTAGAGGCCATCATGCTTATCTGCATTGAAGTCATCTAGAGGGGACCAGGGAAAGTTCCATTCTCCCTCTGTTCATTCCATCGATCAATCTGCAAACAAAAGGCAACTGATATCACAAGTATTTTCTACGCCAAAGAGACGTTTTTCTTTTTTTTTTTTTTTTTTTTTAACTAAGACTAAGTTTGAGACTGACTTTTTTGCTATTTCTTAAAGTAATTTTTTAGTACACTTTTTTTTTTACTAGAAAACAGCTTTAAAAAATAATAAAAAAGACGTCCCAAATAAAGCCTAAGAGTTAAGCTAACAGGAATTTCTTAACAAAAATAGCTATCAATATCTACAATCTCCCCAATAAAGCAGGACTAGAAACAGTGAGAATGTTTTTGGTTGGGGGAAAAGAAATATGAGCATCACAGTAGCACAATGAGAAATGAATCATGGTCTGATTTAAAAAAAAAAACTGTTCTCATATAAGAAAAAAGAATATGTAAAATATTTGAGTATGTAAGCCGTTAGTTTTCAGTTCTGCAACTTATAATGCCTGTTTTACATCCTTTTCATAAATATTTTTCTATTGGAAGGTTCTTCAACTAGTAACCAAAGACTAAACTTCTATCAATTTCAAATGATCAGATATCAACCTTAGGTTCATTGGTTAGCCACTGAGACTGCTAAAATCAATGTACTCAAAAGTCCAAAATATAAGGAGACATTAAATTCAACAATGCTCCTTCATAGTGACAGCCTCATCGCAATTCTTATATTATTTAGGTAATCTTGTGTATCTATTTTCAAATGATAATTCTAAGGGGCTGTTTGAATGCAAGATTTGAGCAAGATTTAGCCTAAATCCTAACAAACAACAAAAAAGACAACTTTAAATCCTACAGAATTATAAATATCATTTCTTCTCCATTTTGTTAAATCCCGGATTTAGTAAATCCAATGATTAGGTAGATTTATAGGATGTAGCCGAAAAGCCAAGCAAAAGGGGAGAAAGAACATTATCTTCGTGGTGAGCTCCCATTGTGACTTATGATCTGGCATGAACGTCGTCATCAGAGGCAAAGAAGCTTTCTTTAGCTACTCTTTCAAAACTATACTTAACACGAAGCACACAGTCGAAGCAGCAATGAAGAAATCGAGAAGAGGAAAAGCAAACCCTAGTCAATCATAAGGCTATAGGAAGAGCATGGATAAAGCCCAAAGAGAAGAAATTATAGAATTTGACTAGCACTGGCAGAGAAGAATACTGTTTACGCTCTTTGTGCTAGTATCAGCATTTCTTATTTTTGATTTTCTTTTTCATTACAAATTACAATAATACAAAAATAATATGGGGAAAGAGAAAAAACATTGGATAATAAGGAAATTATTCAATTTATATGGCTAATATTTAGGTCTTCATTTAAAGGTTAGAGGTTAAATATTTTTTTTTTGTGTTTCATTAATTTAATATTTATTAATAAATATTAAATTATGATATTAATATATAATAAGTATGATTTAATTAATTTAATTAAGTTTGGCTAAAATTTTTAAATTAGAATTAAATATATTTAATTATGTAAATTAGGCATTGTGGAAAAGCTGTTGGACCTAATGATATTCCAATAAAGATGCAGAAATGCTTAGGAGATGCATAAAGAAGGCTTTATCATAAAGAATTTCACTGAAGGAATTTCTTGGCTTACTAAACTTTTTAATACTATTTTGAAGACTAAAAAGATGTCAGATGAGCGGAGAATGAGTGTGTTAATTCCAATATGAGCATCACAGTAGCACAATAAGAAAGGAATCATGGTCTGATTAAAAACAAAAATGTTCTCATATAGGAAAAGAGAACATGTAAAATATTTGATCAGATCATGAGATTTAATCGGATTTAACCTTTGTCATGTCAAACTTTTTTCATCAAGATTTAATCGGACTTAACCTTTGTTGAATTAAATCCTCACTACCCTAAAAAGACTTAAAACTTAAGGTAGCCAAATAGTTCATCAAGATTTAATCGGACTTAACCTTTGTCATATCAAACTTTTTTCAAAATTTAATTGCCTTAAGATCTGATAAATCAGAATTTACAGGATTTACTAAATCTTGCTTGAGCTAAATCCTATTTGCAGCCAAATAGGCCCTACTAGATGAGAAATCTATTAAAATATGACTAAAAAAAAAAAACACATTATAGTATAAAATGATTTAGGACTACTAAAACAACAACAAAATGTCTTATCTGAAATTTCAGGGGGCATTAAATATATGATAATTAGTCATCAATATTGCTATAAGAACAAGATAAGTATGCCTTTTTGATTAACTTTATGTTCGTCATAACCTAGAGGCTTTTTCATGGAGTTTTCAACATTTTTTTTATGTGCCCTTTCTTACAATATATGCATTATAAATAAGCCGGTTTCGCATCACAGTCTTTTTAATCTTACTATTAGCCAAATAAAGAGATAGGAGTAGTGAGGATTTAATTCAAGTGAAGTGCGTTAAGGATGAAAATAAAAAAGTGTTTTTATTAGGATATTTAACAAATGTGGATGAGATATTTTGCTAAGTTTTTCAATGAAGATTGTGAGAATATGATTGCCTTGAGTGGTCTTACCATTCTAAATAAAAATAAATATTTTTATTTTTACCGGCTTATTAGTAAAATCGAAGTTAGAAAGGCTTTAAAGAAAATAAAATGTGGAAAAGCCGTTGGACCTGATGATATTCCAAGAGAGGAAATGAAATGCTTAGGAGATGAAGGAATTTCTTGGCTTTCTGAACTTTTTAATATTATTTTGAAAAATAAAAAGATGTAAGATTAGTGGAGAATGAGTGTATTGATTCTTACTTTTAAGAATAAAGGTGTTGCACAAGATTGTGCAAATTATAGAGGAATTAAGTTAATATGTCATACATCAAAACTATGGAAGAGAGTTATGGAGCATAGGTTACGACGTGATACTAATGTTTCTCAATATCAATTTGGATTCATGCCCTACTATGGAAGCTCTACATTTATTGAGAGGTTTGATGCATAAGTGTAGAAAGAATAAGGATGATCTATATATGATATTTATTGATTTAGAGAAAATATATGATAAAGTTCTAAGAGAAGTTTTATAAAGAGTTCTAGAAAAGAGGGGTTAATAATGCTTATATTCAAGTCATTAAAGATATGTATGCAAGAGCTGTTACCTGTGTTCAAACAGAAGGTGGTTTGACTAAGCATTTTTCTATTTTAGTTGGATTACATTAAGGATCAGCCTTATGCCCATATCTTTCTGCTTTACTCATGGATGTTCTCACTAGACATTTGAAAGAGGTTGTACCCTGATGTATGCTTTTTGCTAATTATATTCTTCTTATTGATAAGACTAGAGAGGGAGTTGAAGGTAAACTTGAATTATGGAGGTCAACTTTAGAGTCTAAAGGTTTTCATTTGAGTAGATCTAAATTCGAATAAATGGAGCGTAATTTTAGTAATAATAGATCTAGTGGGAAAATTGTAACTTTGGGCGATGAAGTCATAAATAAGAGTACACATTTTAGATATCTTAGGTTTACTGTTCAGAGTGAGGGTGAAATAGATGAGGATATTATTAGTAGAATTCTAAGTTGGAGGGTTGAAGTGGAGAAATGCATAGGACTTGTTATGTGATAGAAAAGTTCCCCTCAAACTTAACGGAAAATTTATGAGATGGTGGTGAGACTACAATACTTTATGGTGCAGAATGTTGACCATTAAAAGAGGAACATAATCTTAAGTTAAGTGTTGTAGAGATGAGGATGCTTAGGTGGATGAGTGGCTTTACTCTTAAAGACAAAATACGAAACAAACATATAAGTGAAAAGGTTGGAGTAGCTCCACTGAAACATAAGATTAGAGAGAGTCACCTTAGATGGTTTGGTCATATAAAATGGCGGCCTTCCGATGACTCAATTAGGAGAGTAGATGTATTAAATTGGACTTATGTTAAGAAATGTAGAAGTAGATCTAAAAATAATTGGTTATAAAATATTAGAAATGACCTTTCTTTATTAGATTTAAAAGAGAATTTGACTTTTAACCAGACACAATGGAGAAAAATAATTCATGTAGACCCCATATAGTGGTTGTTGTTGTTGTTGTTGTTGTTATACCACTTAAACTGCAAATGAAGACAACAGTTTTCAACACAAAAAGACAATAAAAACAATTTCCTCATACATTACACAATATAAACATTGAGTTCAATGTAGCTTGTAATGGATGCTGGGAACATACCCATTCACCAGGGCAAAGTGCACGATAATACTTCGCAAACTTGTTACATTCAGAAGTATCATCTCCTTTTGCGGTTACGCACCTGGAAGCAGATACCATTGAAATTAAATACTCCGTAAGTAGACCAGAATCTCACATCCATGGTGTAATAGTATAACAGATAAGTAGACAAAATTTACTCATACAGCCACCTATGATTCCATTACCTGTGGTATTCAATATAGCGAGTAAAGCAATGCCGAGTTTGATTTGTTGTTGGGAAACGGAAATCCGCTGGGGCAGTTTCCAACTACAAAAATATAATATTCTATCAAGGTTACCCTGTATGGCAGAAAAACTGCAGTATCCATGCTCAACGAATGTGAAAGAAAACCAGAATAAAGATGATGACTTGGAAATTTTAGACCTTTATCACTGGTTTATCCTCTTCAGCAGCTTCTTCTCCTTCTAATTCTTCTGGCTCCGGAGCTTTACTATTTTCCTCTGCGGCATTATTGTCATTCTCAGCAGCAGGGTCATCATTAGTCTTCTGTGTGGAAGCTGGAGTAATGGTAACAGGTTTTTCATCATTAACAATTTCAGCAGCAGCTTTAATCTGAGTTGGCTCCACGGCTTTTAGCAGTGACCATTGCTGCCACAAAACACACTCCAAGAATAAATTATAAAGTTTGATGACGCTGATTCTTCTGGTAGGATAAAAACAGTCATTTCCAAGTTCCACGAAAATCTACTTCTAAGCTGACAAAAACTACTCTTCATTGCTTCATAGATCTTTTTACACGACATATCTACCAAGTAATCCCAGAATTAAACGAGTTCATGAACATGCTAAAAATTTTAAGATAATCCATAGGTTTAATCATTCATCAACGAAGTACAGATTATGCAGAAGAGCTCTGTACAGGTTCTGCCTCAAATCAAATCTTAAGGTCAACAACCAAACAGGACAAATGGTAGCTGAGAAATCTGTAATCCAAGTACAAAAGGCCTATTGGTAATGAATGTTAGCAACTAAATTATTCCCTCAAAATAACATTATTGTTCTGAGCCGGTGAGGTGAGGATAGATTTAATCGCCTTCACACAGAAAAAGAAAAAAAGAGGAGAACAAAAGATTTTTATATGAAAAACTCTTGGAGGGAAAAAACAGAGTCTGGCCCAATTGAATAATATCCATTATATCAAAAAAATTGGTCAAGGGTGGTACAAGGGCGGCCCACTTCTAAGTCAATGGAGGGACTTTAGTATAATACATCTCGAAGTATTTCCTAAACACCAGCGGAGTGATAATCAATAAGATAAGGCAAAGTTGACACCAGCGGAGTGATAAGAAATACTTGATTTCAAGTATTTCCTAAACACTTTGGAAGCAATAATCAATGAAACCTGCTGTCCACAGCAGAAAATGACAGCAAAACAGTGGAAGAAACAGCAAATCTGAGAGAAATAGTGAAGAAACAACTTGTAGTTTACTAGTAGATGAAAGAAAAAAATAGTAAAAATACAAGAGATCCTCTATTCGAGAGGAGGATCACACTCTCCCAATCTCTAGATATCAATCTAGAGCCTTAGCCACAAGAAAACCCAAGAGAACTTTCAGAAAAACCTCACATAACCCTAACCCTAGCCTTTTCTCCCTACTTAATGCATACAATTTAAAATTAATACAAAAGGACCTAATTGCCCTTGCTTCTCCTTCTTTTGGCTCCAAGATTGTATTTGAATCTCAAGTGGACCCCACCCTTTCCCTCCTCTTTGAAGCAGAGCCTTACATGGGGTCCTGGTTGGGTACCCATTGGGTACCCACGCTCTGCGCTGGCGGGCTTTGCCCACCTACGCCCACCTATGGTGACTTTCGGGATGTCATATCCACCCACACCATCCACTTTCCATACTTCTTGAATGCAGTCTGCCACATATTAATGACCTTGAGGTTTTTTGCCATTTTCTCGGACTGCAAACTTTCAAGCCACATATAAAAATTTATCGTGGTCGCGACGCAGTTCAATGTTGTGCACTACGTAGTAAGGATTACTATAAAATACTGCATGCATATGGTGATTAGTAATGTAAATCAGATTGTTCTCTGATGTTGAGTACCCACCCATACCCACCCACGAGGTCATGGGCGTACCCATACCCACCCATGCCCATTGGGTATGGGTGGGTACGTGGGTGGGTATGAGTATGAGTACCCAATGTAGGGCTCTGCTTTGAAGCTGCCGGCCCCCTTCTGCTGTAAACAAGCCGGACCAGCCCAGGGGGCTGGGCCGGCTGGACTGGTCCATGGAGGACCGGTCTAACACGGAACTACAGTGGGGGACCCACTGGTCCATAAAAAAAATCCAAAGTAATTTATAATATTACATTAAATTTCTTTTATGTAAGAATAATATTGCATAATACTAATATATATAAAACCAAAAAGGCGATTCCGTGGATGCAACAATGACTATGACACAAGTAGTTAGGGTATATGTTTTGAGGAATATGATACTAGCACAATTGATTTGTGCTGTAGTTCTAATCAGTTGCAGCACAAACAAGATAGTAATGCAAGCCTTGAAGGAGATATTGTAAGGTTCTGGCATAGACATAAGCAAGGTTGCAACACAGGTCTTAAAAAGTAACTATTATAACAAAAGAAATATTCTAGCATAGATCTTAATTCGCTGATGACAACAGTACAAGTAGGCTTGTCATGTACATCATGAAAGAGAATAATATTGTGCAAGTGAGGTTGTGACATAGGTGTGGAAGAGCATAATTGTTGCATAAGTGATGTTGCCATGCAGGTTTTGAAATAAAAGGTTGCAATGCGAGCAAAGTTGTGGCAAATCTCTTGAGGAAAACAATGATGTTGCAAGCAAGACGCAACACAAGTTTGGAAAGACATGATTGTGTCACAAGCCAGGTTATGGTGGAAGTCTTATTGATGAGATGATGAAAGCACAAGCAAGGTTGCAGCATAGACCAAGATGGATTAACAGCTACAACACAAGTCTGATTGAAACATAAGCCTTAAATGAAACAATGACAACAATGCAACATGGATTGTGGCATTAATCTTGAAGAAAATGATTAGGACATAAGTGAGGTCACATTAGAGATTTAGAAGCAAAAACAGCTATAAAGCAAGCAATTTTACAACATTTATTTTAATTGAGATGGTTGCGGCACAATTGTGGATGGAAATGACTTTTTCAAGTAAAACTATATTTATTTGGTATTAAAAAAAATCAAATAATAAGATGCCACCACAAATGCAATATGGACAATCAACAAACGACAAGTTTTCTTATGGAAACAACTTACTTAGACACCAAACATGATAAAGGACAATCAATGGGTTCACTATACTAATGGATGAATTCTACCAAGTTCAGATCTTCATAAGAAAATTCAATTAACTCTTTCATAATTAGGAATAGTAAATCTAAAATTAAATATTTAGAATACGGAAAGAAACATTACTACAGACTTATTATATTATCTAGATTCGATAAATTATCCACAAGAATAAACAAGATACATCACAACGATCACAAAAAAAAAAATTGTGATTTGTAAACATAATTATTAATGTTAATTAATTTTAACTGAAATATAGATAAAATTTTCATAGGGATTTTGAATAAAGAAAAAAAAAATATAGATAAGAATGACATTGAAATAACCAAAAAATTATTGTTGCAAGCAATCCTTCATCATAATTGTAATATTTCAATACTTGGAAATCCTTCACTGAGGATAAGCACTTCACTGAAGTATTCCTTTCCTTTAGCAAAGAAAGAACACAAATCCAAGAACAAATAGAGAAACTCAAACTTATATTTGATCATTCATTTTTTCATGCTTAAAGAGGCAAGCAAGCCTAAGTGAACAACTCTCAATCAACACCATTCAAAGATATGCAGTAAGGTAAAAAAAGGCAGTGGAGAAGTCAACATATGGCGAAATTTTTGCACACCTACCACCCATCATCATTCTAAACATGTTGATTAGCAAAAAACTTACTAAATCAACAATACACAATACTCAACACATCACATGGTCCATGATGAAAAGTTCAAAACACAAAATAATGAATGACACAAAAGGCCCAAGGTACATCATGAACTAACATCAACACAAGAGCTTAACAAGATGAAAAATGCAACTAGAATTTCCTAAGTGCAAAAGCTCTAAACTTTCTGCGATGGAGATGATGCTGATGATGATAGCTATGATCCCCTACGCTAGATTTTCTCAAAGTTCCAGGCTCCTTAGAGCTTGAAAAATCCTATGTCATCATCCCTAATGAATTGAAATGAGAAAATGCTTATAGATATTAAGAAGCTATGATGCACCGACACTTCTCCTCAAAGAGACATGCAGTGTCCGACACCGTATCCGACACGACACTCGTTCGACACTCCTCTGACACGTGTCGGACAAGCCGAAAACATGTCCGATTAAAAAATATTAAATACAAATTGGACACGCGTGTTCGATACGCGTATCTTAAAAATTTTATGAATTTGTTTAAATATAATTTCTTGTATTTGGCGGGATTTAAACTAAATTTCTTATTCCTATCCACAACACCAAATCAACGTCCGCACTTAATACCAAATCATCGAATATTCTCATTTTCATTTCTTTTTGACAGTGAAGGTATTTTCATCTTCTCTCTCGGTGATTGATAAACGACATCGACGTCTGACTCTCGACATCCTAATACTAATCATTTTAAGCACAACTTCTAGTTAAATAACTTATTATTTTCAAATTATTTTTAAAATTATACTTATTTAATTTTTATACAATATTTTTTAAATATAAAAATTATAATACCGTATCCAACCCTTGTCCGTATCCTATATTTTCAATAACTGGCGTGTCCCGTGTCCGTGTCGTGTCGTATCCATGACGCCGTGTACGTGTCTGTGCATCATAGTTAAGAAGGTTATTCTAGTCTTTATCTGAAGTAATCTAGAATAATGATCATAATTATCAATAAAAAATTATGTTCATTATGTCTTGCCATGAAAAAAATATGATGTGATGATAGCACATTAGCACTTATGATGGTCCAATAGAACCATCAAAATCGAGTTTGACCCTAGTGGTCAATGATGGTCAAGCAGTGGCAGTTGCAGCAACAGATGGTATCTTGAATTTGCCAAGAATATAACACTTCAGAGATATTGAAGCTGTGAGGGCAATAGGTTATAGATCAAAATTTTCACAATTAAATTAACATTAACAATTCAATGAAGATTTATCGCTCAATTTTGGGAGCATCGAAATATGACGATAATGCCTTGTCCTTTTTTATTTGACTCTTTGAGAGAAGTTATATGTTGGAAATGGCTCGTGACATGAAGGTCTATGGGGGTCACAATGGCTTTGAGAAGTTAAAAAAAAATCCCAACTATTTGCATAATAACAAACGGGCCAGCACGATCGAATTGATATTATGTATTGCTCTCACTGAGAGCTTTTTGGGGGCCTATTATGAAAACAACATAATTGTTCAAGGGTCAAAGACCACAAGGACCATTGCCGCCCCTTCCTCACATGCAGATGATTGCTGATGCATACAGACGGGGATGGTCAGCCCGCATCGGTCTACACAACCCCGTTCAATCAATCTTTGAACAATTTTAAGCCCCAAATCATGTGATCTTGGCATTGATGGATTCCTTGTAACGAAATGGTCCTTTTGTTGGCTTTTTTTTTTTTAATAAAAAAAAAATTTGGCCTCTGATTTGATTTTCTGGGTATGTTGAGCATTGTTAAGTCATTTTGAGTTTCTCTACGATCATGCTTGATCATACAGGGGTTTTTAGGATCCTAAATAGATCTTTAGGACCCTATAAAGCAGCATTTCAACAAATTTACCCCTTTTTCCTATGACTAATACATGATAGTTTTTATATCTCTCTCAAAGGCTTTGGATTAGGAAACATGATTTACTTTAGCCCAAATCCAAGGGTTGGGCAAAATTTTAAACTTACGGGAAGCTACGGAAAGAGCTTAAAATCTCCCCCCAAAAAAAAATCCATCACTAGAGCTAGACAAACGAACCTGTAGTCAATCTCCGCTCAACGAAGGATGTCAAAAAGATTTTGCCCTAAAGATTTATCATCTATGGTTTACGATCATCAGATCCACAACACAAATTCAATCCACGAAGGGAGAGGCAAACAAAATAGCAAGCTATAGCACAAGAGAGAGAAAGATAGAACATTCAACCTCAGCAAGATAAGAAATTGTTGGCTTTTTTAATTCTGCCATGGCCGGTAACTTCCAGCTATCCGGATCCTGGAATCGAAGCGGCGCAGCCTAAGTGTTGAAGAAATTAGTTGCCCCTTCGATGCAGGCAACGACGTAAATTGGCGAGGAAGAACCGGTAGACGCCGTCTGTGTGCCTTCACCCGATCCCGCATTTCTTTATCATCTCCCCCAGTCAATGGTTAAGCGGGCCTGGCCCGCCTGCCTTGGGAACGGCCCAACCACGTTAGGGGCCGTTTGGTTAAAGTAAAACCAGAGTAAAGCACTTCATATATAGGAATTTTTAAAATAGTGATATTTGGTTAGAAAAAATAAATAATATATATATATATATATTGTAAATAGAAGCCCCTCTCATATTTCTAACAATTTCAGTAATTTCTTGCTCTTAGAGCCTCTAGTTCTTTTCTTCTCCATGAGGTCTGCAACCTCTCTGTAATGGTGCTTTCCAACATTTTGCAGTTGAATGCTTGTCTGTAAAGTACATGTGAAATTATTATATGGGAAAAACTATATTGTTTAAATTACTAATAATTATAATTTTCTTATATTTACTACATATTATAATATATCTAATTATAAAAAAAAAATATTTTTCACAACAAAAAATACTGTAAAGCACCGAAAAGAAAATATATAGCTAAATAGATTTATAACTGTTTTTTGAACAAAAAAAAAGATATCGTCAATAGACCATAAATCTCTATGAAACAAGATTTTGAAAATAACTCCTCAGACCATGCAATTTAATACCCCTAAACATACAGAACAGACAAAAAAGAAATGTAAAATAACTTATCTTAGTCTCAATTAAACTCTCATTTTTCTTTACAATTAGTTAAGTTCTGCTTGAAAGCTGAACTTTAATTACAAATAGTTAAGAGAACCATTTGAGCTGCTCTCCTTTGAACACGCCAATACACTAATCTCCCTTTAATTTCAAGCCCTTCGGCTGAAAAAAAAATATAAGAGGATTAATTAATTAATTAATTAAAAACTAAGCAGAATTAACCTCATGGAATAAAAATGAAGGTCCGACGTCGGGTAGAAGTCCGACGTCTGTTGGTGGCAAAGAAGAAATCCAGCTTCACTTGGGCGGAGTTTCGGCGTCAGGAGGGAACTCTGCTGTAAATTGGTAAGAATTTCCGCTTCCCATGGAAGTTAGGCAGAATTATGGCATTCTCTCGAAAATCTGGCAGAGTTCCGGCGTCTTCAGGCGGCGGGAAGAGCTCCGACGGTGGTCGAGGAGGAGCTTCTTCCTTCTCCTCCTTCTCTTCTTCTTCTCTCTCTTCACTTGAGTCCCCTTTGTGTAGAATGAGGGCTCTATTTATTGTTTTTATGGAGTGGCATAGCCTGTAAATAGGCGTGAGATCAGGGGCGAATTGAGAGTGGTTTGAATGGACGGCGGATATCGAATCCTTTGATCATGCACCATTCATTGGACATTTGGAGGCCTTAATGATGTCGGAATTCGGTGATCTTGGGCTTATTGGATTCGTCTCGTCCAGCCGCTTGATTCGAGTATAAGCTCGTTAAAATTGGAGATCGTTTGGTAACTCAAATTGCGGTTTGAACCTTTCAACAGCGCTTCTGGTCTTTGATTCAGACCCATTTGGGCTCGGATTGGGTTGAACTTGGTGTCGTTGGGTTCGTATTTCCGATACACTCAGTTTGACTATTGGTTCGCTGAAATCGGAGTTCTGGTGCTTCCGGATTTAATTTTTGAAGTTTCCAACTAGCTTTTTGCCTCAAGATTCGTGCCCGATCAAGATAATTTTATGACGACGTATCACTCATATATACAATAACAACAAGCCTTTATCCCACTATATGAGGTCACCTACATGAATTTTTTTCTATATTGTCATGTTAAGAGTTAAATTCTCAGTTCCTTTAGTAAAAGAATAGAATTTTTGTAATAAAAAGATGCTTTAAATAGTAAAAAAACCACCTAAAACGAAACCTAAGTAGAGCTCTTCTTATCAAAGAAAAGCAGTGGTAAGCAAGTGTTTCTTTCTCACACAAACCAAAAAAAAAAACAATTCTAACTGAGAATCCATATGTTTGAATGCATGTTCAGAGTTTTTTTTCCTTAATTAGAATAATCAAAGGGACATGCCATTCATTTTCATCTTGCAGCAATCTAATTATCACTCAAATATGAGAAAATAAATCAACATGTCTTGTTTAATTAAGATCTTTAAACAAAATAAATAAATAAAACTGGCCACAGTGGAGCACTCGGGCCTCGTTTGGGACGACTTTTTTATTGCTTATTGAAGCAACTTTTTAGTACTAAAAAGCTGCTCAAGAAGTAATAAAAAAACCGTCCCAAACAAAATCTCAATCACATATCAGAGTCATTCCTAGTGAATCTCTAGGCAGAGATCATTGATTCATCCATATGATGCATCTGAGACTCTTCCCCTGAACCAGTAAATCAAAAGCTTTGTTTATGTCCATGAAATTCACCTCATGAGTTATGAACTCATCCAAATGCAGTTCCTGTGAACAGTAAAAAAATTACATTCAGTATTGTCATTTCTTTTAAAAAGATGGCTCTGTGCCTAAAATACCTTGTTTAAGTATTGTTTTGCTAGGATTGGAATGTCAGTCTTCGCTTTGATTCCACCAAATAAAGAACCCATAATACACTTTCCCTTCAAAATTTCAGCTGAATCTATTGATATTGGGTTTCCATGCATTTCCACTCCAAGAATGATAGTTTTGCCAACACCCTGAATACAGTGGAGCAAAACATATAAATTATAATTATATTCCTAAAACACAAATTATGGGGAAGATAATAAATGAAACCTCAATATTTTTTTTTTCTTATTTTTTAACTATCATTTTGCTGGATTATTTCCTCATAAGATAAGAAGTATTTAAGTTGCAAGTTGAGCTTCAAACACTTTACTTGATCTGTAAGATTATAGAGGACAACTAAATTAGGGGAGAGAGAGAGAGAGAGAGAGAGACCAATCGGGAGCAATTGAAAGCATCACTCATCAAAGAGGCCAAACCAATGCACTCAAAGCAGTAATCAGCACCTCCATCAGTCATCTCTTTGATTATCTAAATGGGAAGTAAAAGAAATATTAGAAAACTATAAGAATGTGTTAGGATGTCGGAACTTTAAGGGGAAAAATGATAAAGAAAAGTTTGGAAAGCTTAGCTAAATGATTAAATTTTAATCGATCAGTAAATTACTGGAAAGCTGAGTAAAAAGAGAGATGTAGCAAAGTCCTGTAAAGAAGAATTCAGACCTCAACCACAGATTTTTCCCCGTTATCCTTTGGGTTAACAAAATGAGTAAGCCCCAATTTTTTTCCTGCATGAAAAAATGCAACGAATAGTAATAAAGAAAAACTTGGCATGCCTTTTAATCAACCTTACTTATCCGACAGTGATTTATGCTAGTAGATAGCATGCCTTAAAGAAAAATGGTTTAGATTATTGGATTCAAAGTTGTTCATGTTAGATGATCATGATTTTTTTTTTTGAGAGATGAATAATGCACAATGTGCTAAAAGAAGAAAGAAGCTAAGACTTCGTTTGGGACGGTTTTCTTACTGCTTCTTAAAGCAGTTTTTTAGTACAAAAATTTTACTATAAAGCTGAAAGGCTGCCCCAAACGAAGCCTAAGGTTTCGTTTGGGACAGCTTTCTTTTTGCTTCTTAAAGAAGCTTCCTATTGCAATTTTTTTAATTTTAAAAAGCAATAAAAAAGTTATCCCAAAGAAGCCTAAATCTCCAAAATTCTCTTATAGTGGCCAATTGGTCCAATTCTTTCAAACAAAGGACAGGTTTAACTTAGTTATACAAAAATAATTTAGAGAATTGCAGATATTCATTTGAGGTCTCATGTGATTTCTATACAAAATTCTATTGATGCGCGTTTGATCATTGATCTCCTATTTACAGATGGGGGCCAAGGTCAAGGCCACAAAGTCATAAATAGTTCAATTACATTGAAAATGAATAGATTAAACATGTTTTAGTTGGTTATGTAGTGAGAAAGTCATGTTAGAAATTGGAGGCAACTCCAACCGAATTATTCAAGTTGTATTCTATAAGTGAGTCCATGCAAGAACTAGTGGGTAAACGAGTACTCAAGTATATTATGTTGAGTTGATGAGTACTTCAAGCAACTACTCTCAATGAGTTGGGGCTTTAATAGGCCCTTTGGCCAAGCTCAACAACTTAATATTGAAGGGTGAGCATTAGCTCTTAGGTGACTTGAGGCTTCAAGAAACTTCAAAATAAATGAGTTCCTAGTTATAAGCTGTTCAAACTTTTTCAAAATTCACTTTATTGAATTTCAGGTCCTCAATATAACTTGATTAATCCAACCTAAATGAATATGAATGTGCGCCAAAAAGATTTTGACAATGGCATTCACTTTGTTGAATTTCTAATGAAGTTAAAGAAATTTAGTCTTGTCATTGTCGACAAACTTCATTAGAAATTCAATAAAGTGAATGCCAATTAAAAATTTCCTATATTTTTCAAGCGGTTGTCTTCGGTGGAGAATCACTACTGAAGACAGTGAATGGCTAATAGAAAGAGTAAAACTAGCAGAACCAAAATTTTCAGTTGAGAAAGGTAGCTACAGAGGAGATTGTAGATTCAAAGAAGAGTGTTACTGAGGGAGCAAATTTAGTAGTGAAGGTCTCATAGGGCACTATAGTGACTAAAGGCAGCTTCCACCCCTTTGATTAAAAAGAAAGATAGCAGATTCAACAATCCTAACCCATCTACACTATAGTGACGGAAGACAATGCTTCCATTTGATTAGCACTTTCTTAATCCCTCCTTGTTCCTGTCGCACCCCTTTCAACTCCAGTGGTTCTAACATCCCCTCTAGATCCTCCGTCAGGGTTGTCGGTAACTCTGAACTAGCTGCATGCTCCCCAATAGCTCTCCCCAACTGGGAGATGTGGGACACTGGGTGTGTGGTAGCGGTAGGGGGTAAGTTCAATCGGCAAGACACAGCTCCAATCCTTTTTCACTGCCATATCACATCTTTCCACCATCTTTTCCACATATTTATGCATCCCCTCCCAATATAGCTTTGCCATCAATCTCATATCACTGACGTTTGAGGCAACACAAACCTCCCTTGGTACAACAGTCTCTCCCCCTCTAGAGAATAGCTATAGTGGATATTCTCATCCTTCAGTAGATCTGCTTTGAAAATCCTCACCTCCTCATCCTGCACACTCTTTGTTTTAATAGCCTCCCAATAGCATCAGTGGTATCGACATAGATAACTCTTGGAACTCTCCCACGCATCTGGACAAGGCATCCGCCACCTTGTTCTCCAACCCTGGCCTGTAGTGTATTTCAAAATCTTAGCCCAACAACTTTGAAAGTAACCTTTGATGTTCCTCGGTAGCCAACACTATTTCCATCAACTCCCTCTCGTAGACAAACTTCAACATGGCTCCGGCGCACGCACGCACGCACACACGCACGCACGCATTCAGGTCCAGCTTTCTAAACACCACTACTCCGTATAACTCATCTATCACCATAATGGGAAACTTGTAAGGCATAGTCTCCTTATTTAAGGCCCGATAGTCAACACAGAATCTCCAGCTTCCATCCTTTTTCTTAACTAGTAAGATTATGCTAGAAAAAAGGATCACACTTGGTCTGATAATCTCTACCTCCAACATCTCTTTGATCAGCCTCTCAATCTCATTTTTCTAAATTTGAGGATAGCGATATGACCTGACATTAATCAGTGACACTCCCTTCCTCAAAGTGATGGCGTGCTTCTGCTCCTTGGTGGTGTCAATCCTTAAGGTGGATAGAAGGCCTCATTGAACTACTGTATAAATGGTTGTACTGAATGAGGTACGCCTCCCACCTCTTCCAATATGATCCCTTATAAGCTCTACAATTCCATCTAATATCCTCCTCCCTCCTGTATGGCCCTCACCATGATTTTGAGTGACATCATAGCTTTAGATAACCCTGCATAACCTCTAATAATCACCCTTCTTTCCTTCACCACCAGTTCCAACGTCAGTGTTCCTCAATTAACCTTGGTATCCCCTAATAAGGTATGTAGCCATTTCATTCCCAAGATGTCATCATTGCTCCCAACTCTAATGGGAGAAAGTCTTCTCTCACCTAGATTCCCTATATGGTTAAAACCACCCCCCTACACACTCCTCTACCCATCCTACCTTTTCAGTGCCCATCATCACTCCATAACACCTTGTGTCCACCAATTTCACCCTCAATTGGTCTACGACCTAGTTGGAGATGAAATTGTGGGTCGCCCCGCTGTCTATCAACACCACAATCTCCCTATTTACTATTACTCCTTTCACTTTCATGGTGTGATTTGGAGTGAATCCACCACTGATTTCAAGGAGACTTCCGCCATGCCAAGATGCAACTCTTCCTCCTCTACCACTATCTCACTCCCACCTCCCTCCTCAGCTTCCTCGTCATCGCAGACGGTGAGAACCTAAAAAGTTTGATCCTTACACTTGTGTCACGGTGTATACCTCTCATCACATCTGAAACAAAGCCCCTTAACCCTCTTATCTACAGCTCCTTCTCAATGAGTTTCTTGAAATTTCCCTCGATCCCCCTCCTACAGGCTTCTCCTGTGAAGTCTCTTACAGGCTACCCGGTGTCGGCCCGTTTGGTGCTAAGAAAGTAGTATTCATCCTGTGAGTACCTCCTGACCTGCTGCCTCTTCCACCCCCTCTTCAGGTGCTTTCGGCCCTTACCAACTGTGTCAGTTCTATAGTTTCTCCCAAGTCACGAGGCCTTATCACTCTAACTGCCGTCCGGATCTCTGGTTTGAACTCCTTCATGAAGTTCCCCCCTAGATTAGTCTAAGAAAGTCAGTCTAGTTGGTTAGGAAGGTACTCAAACCTCTCACGGTACTCTACAACAGAGCCTTCCTGCATCAGGGCAAAAAACTATTCATAGAAGTCTCCTCCCTTGCTGGTTCAAAAACGTTCCAACAAACAGTCCATAAACTCCCTCCAGCTCTATATGGGTTATCTCATGTCTCTCCATTGATTCCAAGCAAAGGCCTTCCCCTCCAAACATAGACTAGCTGCCATCAGCCTCTCTTTTGCCAGTCCGTTGACGATGGAGTACCTCTCCACCTTGTAGATTCACCCATATAAATCCTCTCCCTCGAAGATAGACATCTTTAGTTTCCTCACTCTCGGATCGCCTTCGTTTCCCTTGAATCCTCTATAACCTCCCATTCCACGAAGGGGTGGTCCTCCCCTTGTGTCATGATTCTCCCTTTTGCACTCGTACCCAAACCCCTCTTCATAATCATCTCTCCTATCCCCATCCACACCCCTATGCTCAAAATCAGCCCCTCGTCTTACAAAATCAACGCCTACCCTTTGATACCTACTACTCAACTCCTCCCGAAAATTAGGCTCTAGGGGAGGCATCCCATCTTTCACCTCCAAAATCTCCACCTCTTGGCTTTCCACTCTCCTTAATTGATTAGGGTTTCCACCACCCCCTTAGCTACTGCTAGCTCTCTTTGCCTCTGATATTGTCGTTTTGGGTTGGGCCTCAAGAAACTTCCTCAACATTTCTTCCACGTCGGCAAACTTCTCATCCATCTTCTCATGGATGGTTAAAAACTAATTTTTAAATTTAAAAATTTTATTTGCAAAATTTGATTTTAACGGTTCCATTTCTCCTTCCAATACTTCCACTTTTCTATACCAATTTTATAGAAAACATATGCGGTTTATTGTAAAATCAACAAACAAACACAAGAATTTGGGAAGAAGAATGCTCACAAAACAACTTTTATTGAAAGGAAATGTAAGAAAAAGCAAGATATAATAGGATCCTCAACTGGAGAGGAGGATTCGGCTCTCCCAAATCTCTAGCCACTAGCTAGAGCCCAAACACCCTGAGATAACTCTGATTTTAGTAAAACAAGCGATACCCTAACCCTCCCAAAATTTCCTCCTAAAAGCATACAATTCAAAAGGAAATCCCGAAATCCCAAAAACAGCCCTCCCATCGAAAGTTCTGTCTGAAAGCACATTAAAAGTTTCGTTTGAAATGGTTGTAGAGGGGGGCCCGGCGACCACGGGGGCGGAATCTCTGTTCCGCCTTTGGTATATTTAGGCCAGTCCTGCATGGACCAGTCAAGCCAGTCTAGTGATAGATCCAACACATATCCTAATGCTTTATTGTGTATGCATTGATCAATATGATTTACTTATTAGATTTTAGCTATCAAACTCGTTATAAAACTTTTCTCATAATAGGTTCTACTAAGTTTTTTAGTAAATCATCATCATAAGAGCAAAATTGTCAGCAATACTATTTTTTTCAATATTTTTGTTATTAGCTTTCGATAGTCTCCGCTTACCTAGTTGTTTCTTCCATTTTTTATATTAGTTTTTACTTTATTTTATTCTTGTTATAAACTCTATTAATGAAATAAAATAATATCCACTTTTTTTTGCTTACTCTCATATATTTACTTATTGTGTATGAAATTTTTGTCTTTTTATTACAAAATATATTTAATTGATCTTGACTTTTGATAATTACTTTACCAGTTAATGTCAATTTCTTCATTATTTCTTCATTATGTCCCATGTTATCATGATGTACCGCCTTTCTGATCAGAGTGTGACAACTTAGAGCAAGCTAATCCTATGTTATACATGGTTCAAATTAATTCACAGCAACACCACGTTGGTCCAAATTCAAATCAATTAGATCCCAATTATGGCTTGATTGCACAGATGTATAAGAAACAAATTTATTAAGGCATTACTTTTTTACCAGTAACATTCAAGTTAATGTGTTGTCCTCATAATGCATTTTACAAAGTTATAATTGACTAGCAACCATGCTGCTAGTCAATAATATTGATTTTAAACTTTTCAAATCCATCAAAGTTCTCTCAAATATACTAATTTCATTTCCAAATGCAAAATAAATAAATCTTAAAATTTTAATTTCTATATAATATTCTTATCTACTAATGAACAGTCAAATAAGGTTTAAGAAAAATGCAAAAGTGGCATACCGATATCAAACTTATCAGGGTTAACATCTACCCCAATTATTTTGGCAGCCCCTTGAAACCTTGCCCCTTCAACAACCTACAAAACAAGCATGACATTTCTAAGAATATTCAATTAACTAAAAATACTAAGCTCATGCTTCATAAAAATAAAAAATGAAGGCTTTAAACCAAATATATCTGTCTTCCAAACAAAGAAAAATTGGGTTGGGATATCCTAACCAAAGTTTGAACAAGATAGGTATTAAAAAAATTTTAATTTATTTTAAGATGAGTATAATATATGAATAATTAATAAACTCTTGTATTACACCAATCTCAAAACAAATCTAAATATTTTAATATATATTATGACTCAAATTTCATCTAGATAACCTTGCCTAAATTTTTATAGAAAAAAATTAAAGCGAAATGAAAAAGGTTTTCATCAAGACATTAAGAATTAATATAAAAATAGAAATGATAAATTTCAATTCACAATTACCGCTAATCCTACTGCACCTAGCCCAAATATGACCACTGAGGATCCTGCCTCCACTGCAGCTATCTTTCGAACGGCTCCGACTCCTGTGTTGTAACATAGATCAAAATCAAAACTTTATAAGAAAAATCATAAATAATTTAAAGCTAAGTTTATTGCACTCAAAAGGGACAAAGGAGTGTAATTAACCTATAAGCTACATCACAGATGATCTTTGTGGCAAGTGTCAATTGTGCGAGAATGAGAACAACTACTTATCGAAATTAATCTTTTTTATGCCTCATATGTTGAAATAATTCTTAAAAATATGCCTATGGTTAAGAAAAAGTTGTGTTAAACTCTCCTTGAGAGTATGAGTTAAAGGAGTACAATTTGGTTACATGAGAACTGCATCTTTTTTTATAATCTGCTCATTTTTAGATTGTTAGCTCAAGTTTTATAGAATAAGAGGATTATTAGAGTTAAAAGCTTATATTGGAGTCTCTTGATGAGGGCTGTGAAGTAACAAATATAATTTTAAAATGCTGTAGGACTCTATCAATCTATAACAATGTTTAAATTTTCTTTGATATAAAAATTATAAAAATCTCACTTATCATGTGCAATTATACGTGCCGAATCAAATAATATAGTGATATATTAGAGTATCGATCCCACAAGGAAGATATGCTTACTTGCAGTTCACTAGTATTGTCTACTAAAATTAAGACAATTATTTTACTTAGATAAAAATAGTTGTCATGGAGATTCAATCACTTCAATAAAATTAGATAAAGATAATGAATACACTATATCGATATATTGTTTTGGATTGTTGAATATAAATAACATATTTTTTCTAATGATTCTCTATTAATTGTGATGCTATTCAGAGCATATGCATTCATAGATCTCTATCGAGCTTGTATGAACAAAGGATGTCTATCAACTTCCTATGATTATTTCATCTCCTTAAGAATTTAATATGTTTCTGATAAGAAACACCTGATGATCTCAAGAATTTCCTAGCAATTTTTGGAAAATAGCGAGAATTTTCCACAAAAATCCACACAAAACAAGGAAAACAAGAGATAATTTGTATTTTTTGATGAAATAGAATGGAAAATACTACAATACAATTGATCCTCTATTCAAGAGAAGGATTTATCTCTATCAAATCTCTAGACATCGCTAAAGCCCAAAAATCAAAGAGATCTCAAATTTCAGCCAAAATCCAAGATGCCCTGACCCTAGGAAAACAAACTATTTAATGCATACAATCCAAAAGGAAATCTCAAAACAGTCCATACTTTGAAATTTCCCTCATAACTCTCTTCAAAGACCTTCATAAGCAGCTTTGTCAGATGCGGGCAGTTGGATTGGGCATACAAGAGGCGAAACTTTTCCGCCTGTTTGGCATGGGCCTATTCTGTAGGACCGGCTGGACCGGTCTAACAGTTTCATACCCTATGCCTAGGCATGATGCATACTAATTCAATATTCCTGGTTATGCCTGCTTCCCTCCGTCGAGGCTCCACATTAAACCCAATTTTAACTACATATGTGACAACTATGTGCATTAAATTAAGATTTGATAACATTGAAAACATCATTTTAATCATTTATGGAATAAGAGAGATCATTAGTGCTTCATATGATACTTCAAAATTTCAAAAATAGAGAACTTAGTCAGATATGAAAAAAAGTTGAAGCAAACTCATTTTCATTAATAATATGATATAAAGAAAATACAAGAGATAGATATCACCAGATAGGTTCAATGAATCTCCTCTACACTTCTTTTTACTTGCAGAATTACTTTCATAAACACCAGTCAAATACTCCAATGATGGTATCAAGTACTTCTATAAATTTTCTTAGTTGTCACCCTAACGGAAATTCAAAGAAGCACTCTGAATTATACTGAAATTATCTAAGTGACTGAACTCTCTTACAAACATAAAACAACGACTACTTATAGGAAAACACAAATAGGCATATGGAGTTGCAGCGCTATAAAGATCAGCATCATTGCGCCTGACAAATGAATTAGCGTAGCTGCACTGTTTTTCTTGTTCCATCGTGGCGCATGCTGACATGAATTATTTACTTTAGTGAATAGTTGTGTTGCTTCCCTAACAGATTTTGTCCTTGGGAAGTTACAACTATTATGTCACAACGCTGTTGACTTTCGGATGCTGCGGCGTCAAAAGGGAAATTTGGGCACTGAGGCATCATTAAGCAAGGATATTTGACATATATGAAATTGTTTGTTAGAGCATTGCTCGATGACGTTAACATATGTAAAAGAGGACTAATCGAATCACCTTGTGATCGATTATATCTTGATTAGATGGGGACGAATGCTGCATGTATCCCAAATCAAAATTGAAGAATGGTCTATCTTTAGACTATTACTACATTTTTGAGGTTAAGGTTAAGGCCTTGCCCAAGGAGTAGAAGCTCAGCTAGGAACTATATAAAGCTTGAAATTTACTAGAAGATTCATTCCATTTGCTAGGAGATGTATAAAAAATAGTTTCTAAAGATATTATCTTGGACATTGAAAATGTTGGAAGATTTTTCTTGGTCACGGCTGCAGTCAAGGTTGCTCCCAGTCCACATAAGATTCTCATGAAACTAATGTAGCAATGACTGATGTTGGACAGACAATAAAACAATACATAAGATTGTCCTTAATAGGGCAATGCTTCTTTCATATCTGATAATAGATCTTGGCAAAAAGACTATGTTGCTTGAATCATGCCCAGGATGTTGACGTGAACTGCCTTACGAGGTTGGAGCAAAATTTGCCTGACATCCAGAAATCACATTCCCACAAACGATGCCAAACAACTGTGTCTTGGAATATTCAAGATAGTAGATAGAAATATAGTTTAGCATCTTAGCTTTATATGAAGATCTAATACACATACAGATAAAAAATGGGGGTGTAGCTTCATAAGAGACACTAAAGTTTTTACGTGAAAACCCTAAAAAGGGGAAAATTATGGGGCCTTACCCAGTTTAAATGAATCTATTAGTGTTTGCAGTTGATTACAAATGACGTACTTTCTTAAGGGGAAGGTCTTAGCTCAATGTAGCAAATATAAATCATATAGAGTGTATTACATGGTAGGAGTTGGAATAATAAGTATTGACATGTTCATTTGGTCAGCAGGACCATAATCGACAAGCGATATAGGTCAGAAGGACTGTAGTTGGGCGACAGTGATTGGAAGGATAATAGTCAGGCGAAGGAGGTTGGAACGACCACAATCGGGCGATGGTGGTTGGAAGGACCATGGTTGGCAGGACCGTGGTCAAAAAGACAGTAGTTTGGTGATGATGGTCAGAAGGACCATAGTCAATGAGCGATGGAGGTCGAAAAGACCGTAAGCGGGTGACGATGGTCAGAAGGACCATAGTTGGGTGATGGCGGTCCGGGAAACCATAATCTGGAGATGGTTATCAGGCGACGGAGGTCGGAAAGATCATAGTAAGTGATGACGGCGGACAACGGAGGTCGGAAAGACCATAATCAAGGGATGATGAGACGATGGTCTAAAGGACCGTAGTCAGCAAGCGAAGGAAGACAGAAGGACTGTAGTTGGCGAGCGATGGAAATCAAAAAGACTGTAGCCAGTGACAATGGTCAAAAGGACCGTAGTCGGTAGGTAATGAAGGTCGGAAAGACCGTAGTTGGGCAATGGTGGTGGGAATGACCGTAGTCGGGTGACGGTGGTTGGAAGGACCGTAGTCGACGGGCGATGGAGGTAAAAAAATGACAGTAGTTGGTAGGCACGTTGGTGTCCAAGCAAAAGTCCGGCAAGGGCCGGTTATCAGGAAAAAGTCTGATGACGGCCGATGACCGAGCAGTGGTCCGGAGACAATCGATGGCTGGACGTAAGTCTGATGAAAGTTGGTGGCAGGTGGTGGTCGAGAAAGAGCTTGGTGGCAAAAGAGATATTAGATTTCTCTTTCTTTCCTATCTTCTTTTCTCCCCCCTTACTTGATCCTCTTTTACTAAAGAATGAGAGGTCTATTTATAGTTTTTTTGTGAGTGAAATGGCTAATAAATAAGGAGAAGTTCAAGGGCATGTTGGGAGTAGTTCAAAAGGACGGTCGATATTCATTTCAATAATTATGATTCGTTTATTGAATATTTAAGTGCCTTGGATTTGTCTTGTCGAGTCTCTCGATTCGACTATATACATGTCACATTTGGATGTCATTTAGTCATCTAATTTTTATTTTGAATCTTTCAAATGTTCTTTAGGCCCTCGATTTTGACCCATTTAGGCTCGGATTGATCAAATTTGGTGTCGTTTGGTTCGTCTTTTCGAGATATTTAGTTTGACTATAAGTTTGTTTAAATCGGAGTTTAGATGACCATAAATTTAATTTTGAAAGTTTCTAATATGAATTTGCGTCGAGATTCGTGCTCGATCAAGATAAAATTTTTATGATGCATCAAAACTATTTAGAATGAAATATAAAAATCTTGGACCTTGGACCTTGGACCACAAATTGAACGAATTTTTTTTTCCCAAAATTCATTGATAAAAGATCTCAAAATCAATTAGACAACAGGACGAAAAATACACCGTTCCACTTGGCCTATTGGTTGGTGGGGGCTTTGGCTACTAGTCAATATATTTTGAGTTTAAAATTTTCATATGTCAATCACTCAAATGTAAATAAATTAAAAAAGAAGACGAAAAGGTACTAGCAAACCTTACCCGTGGACACACCGCAACTGAGCAGACAGGCTTTCTCCGGCGGGAGTGCGCTATCGACCTTGGTCACCTGAGCGATATCAACAACAGTATACTCGCAGAAACTTGACACGCCGAGAAAGTTGTTCACTGGCTGACCGGCTGCATCCGTGAACCGGACCGTTCCATCCCTCGGCATCCCTGGAAACACAGAGAACGGGGCCACCGAGCAGAAATTTCCCTTCTCCGACCGGCACTCCCTACACTCCCCACAGTTTGATAGAAACGTTGGCACCACCGCGTCCCCCACCTCCATTCCATTTACCCCATCACCCAAGCTCTCAATAAACCTACCACACAAATCACCCCCACTCCATCTGATCATTAATTAAAGTCTCAATTAACTTATAAGAAAGAGTCAAAAAAAGAAGTACCCGAAAGCCTCGTGCCCGAGGATGCGCGGAAGGAAGATTGAGAAATCCTTTGGGAAGATTAAAAGAAGAAGTGAGATAAATTAATTAGGATCAACCGACGACAGATTTATAGATATATGCTAACTTGTCTGCGCCAGAAAGTGAGGTCGCTGTGGCAAAGTGAGGTGCAGATGATCTTGATGCGGACTTCGAAAGCTTTGGGAGGAGCCACCTCGACTTCTTCGATGACAAGAGGCTCGCCGGGAGCTCTGCACACGGCCGCTGCATGTTGATGGAGTTAAGGAAGCTCAGGCGGCAACTAACGGAGATTACAGATATGCGTGGAAAGGTTTATCTGATAAATACCTTTGCAGCGAATGGCCTTTGGGGAATTCTCCATTGATGCGTGCGCTAGCTTTTCTGTATGAAGATGAAGATTGCCTTTGATTGACCCGTGGGAGGGACGGTCGGGGTACTAATAAGGGGTGTGTGACAGTTTCTTTCTTTCTTTATTCATTATGATTTTTTGTTTTCTTCTATTAGCCCTTCTAAGAATTTTTAATTGAACGGACAACACTTACAAGAAAGTAATGATGTGCAGCTTAATTCGTATATTTGTATATAGTAAATATACACTGTATATATTGAAAGTCTAGACTCGACATTTAAGTTTCATTTGAGGCTATTTTTTATTATTTTTTAAAATAATTTTTTAGTGTTGTTACAGGCTAGAAATTATGCGGCGATAGAGATTTTATTCTACGTCTTAGCGTTGTACGTATAACTAGCACACACAGAGAACACAAGATTTTTTACATGGAAAATCCTTAAAAGGGAAAAACCACGAGGCCTAGCCCATTTGAAAATGATTCCAATAGACTTTGAGTTGGTTACAAAGAACTGAATCACCTCCAAGGGTGATCAGATTACAATCAGTTACTTAAGTAAGATGTCGGGTTTTCGGCAGAACGTGGGGTCCGAGTGTCAGGCCTTGAACAGGACGTCGGGTCTTCGGCAGGACGTAGGGACCGAGTGTCAGGCCTTGAACAGGACGTCGGGTCTTCGGCAGGACGTAGGGACCGAGTGTCAGGCCTTGAACAGGACGTCGGGTCTTCGGCAGGACGTAGGGACCGAGTGTTAGGCCTTGAACAGGACGTCGAGTCTCCGGCAGGACGTAGGGACCGAGTGTCAGGCCTTGAACAGGACGTCGGGTCTTCGGCAGGACGTAGGGACCGAGTGTCAGGCCTTGAACAGGACGTCGGGTCTTCGGCAGGACGTAGGGACCGAGTGTCAGGCCTTGAACTGAACGTCGGGTCTTCCACAGGATGTAAGGACTTAACGTCGGGTCTTCGGCAGGGGTGGAGGCTTCATAGAGGGTTGCGACAACGAGACAATTGGAGATCGACAATAAAGGCAAATTTGGTCTCAAGCATGTTCTATGAAGGATTTAAGTGATAGAGATACATATCTAAGTGTCAAAAGAAGAATGGTGACTGGCAACATGTTGTTGTTGTACCAAGGCATATGTGGCGTGAAGGCAATGACAGTCTGACGATGATAATCAAGCTAGGATGGTTTGATGATGATTGTTAGCGGTTGTCAACGATGACAATCATAGGACGGCTATTGAATTCTTTAAATATCCAAGTTTTCCCCAAAAAAAAAAAATATATTGGGTAAATTTATCATTAGTATCTTAGTAATTTTAGCCTAATTTTGAAAATGCACCATCATACGTGTATCAATTCATTCGATTATAGGCTTTTTTAATATTTATGTATCTTAATGACATCATAATTGAGTAATATTATACTTGTTGGAATTCTCTCATCAAGATGCCGTTTTTTATTATACATAATATTAAGGGATTGTCTGATCCTTCAATTATGATGATGATTTTAAAATATCTTTTGTGCTTACTTTTGGCTTGTTTAGACTCAAATTAGAATATTTTTGATATTGTTGTGTTCATCTCATCTAGACATTTTATCTGACTATAAATTTGTTGAAATCAGAGTTCAAATGACACTGAATATACTTTTAGAAGTTTTAAATTCAAAGTTTATTTTTCATGGAAGGTCGGATGAATTTTCTAGCCATATTTTACAAGTTTTTTTTGTAACATAATACTTAAAAAATATCACATTTTAATCATATATTTGTCAATATATTATTAAAATATATGATTTTCTATGTGGAAAAAGTTAGGTGAAAATCATTGGGCCTTATTTGGTTGAACGACTTTGAATTCCATAAGATAAATTACATGACAATAATACCCTTTAATTAGGTGAGTATTCTAAGTGAATGGAAGACTTCTTCAGTCTATTGATCGAGTTCAATAGCTTAATATTGATGACCAAATTATATTCAACTTTGAGGGAATTTATTGGTAAAATATAGGGCTTTCCTATTTCAAAGCTTTACCATCATATCGCTTATAAGGTTTCATTTGAAATAATTTTTTGTCATTATTTTTTCGTTGTTTTCAAGAATTTTTTGTACTAAAAAACTGCTATAGAAAACAGTTAAGAAAATAACCTCAAACAAAGCCTAAGCTAATTTCCATAAGTCAATGCATCGAGTTGTAATGATTAGGGCCTCATGAAGGAAAGCATAATGATCCACTATGTTCGAATTTGCTAAGGGTCTAATTGGTTGCTAAAATATCTGTTGTATTACATGTAGAATGCTTGAGTTTTAAAAATCCTATCGTTCTATAGGAAGAAAAGTACATATAGTGTAAGCTTTTAATGTATTTGAAAAACACAATCTAATTTATTTTCGATGTATTTTTAATTGATTCAATGTTAGATTTATTTTGAATATGCAATTTGCATGAAGTGATGTTAGCCAAAGCCATCACTTGTCTAGTCGTCGCAACCCGCCTCCACCGACTACCACAGGCCAGCACTCGCCGCCAGTCATAATTGGTTGTCGCTCGACATCCATCTTAGGCCTTCACCATCGCCATCAACCATCTTCAATCAATTTTTATTCAATTGCATTAATGTTTCACCCTGTACTCTTTTACTTGAAAATACATCCTACATTATTTTCAATTTGTATAGCATTATTTTTTTACTTTTTTTACAGCGCTACAAATAACTCCTAATAAGTTTAACAAATTTACACAGTTCGAGATGTATTAGGTGCGGAGTGCGGGCGGGGAGAACCGTCCGCACATGCATTGGGTACCTAGCGGTACTATCACTCAGTACTACTGAATATCGCTGGATACCGCCAGATACCCACCTAATAATTTTTCCTCATTCAGAAGGTCAAAGTCATTAGCTAGATTAGTTAAAAAAAAAGATTAATGTATGTCCGGGCAGCACGTTCATGCGTTTTATAATTATTCTCTGTAGAGCTTGTTCAGCTAATTTCGTCGATTATTGAGGACAATTGAAAGTCTTCAGAGACGGTTGAGATAACATGATTAGCAATTTTTTTTTTCTTTTGTTTACTGTTGAATCACAGGCATAAAAATACACCGGCCTATGGGCTATCCCTAATATTAAATCATAAAAATTCAAGCTAATCATGACAAGGAAAAATATTACAGAAATTTGATCTTTTGATGATGGTAAAGAATGCAATAGAAATAAAAGTCTTTTAGAAGTTAGATCTTAGAATCTGTTTGGAACGACTGTAATTTTTATAAAGGTGATTGTAAATTATTATGGAGAAAATAATTTTTTTGAAATTTGTTGTAACAAGTAACTTCCTAGAACACAAATTTATTGAAAGTGATGAAAAAATAATGGCCAGATAAAAATTATGATTGAGGTCTGAAAAAAATAAAACATTAAGAATGATATTCAAAACAAAGACCAAGCGATTCTTTTTTATTTTTCTTTCTTATTTCTCATTTTTTTTAATAATTTTATTACAAAAATTATTTTCTTTCTTTCAAAATAAATGAGTCGGCTCGTGAGCCCGCTCAAACTCGTAAAATAAAATTTGAATTTGAGCTTAAACTCGTAATTAATCAAACTCAAATTGGAACAAAAAATGATGTGAATTCAACTAGACTTGTGTTTTCATTTGCAAATCTGCTACGCATTGTTAACACCAGTAATTTTTTATTCCCTTGAAGGTTTTTTTTTTCCTTGAAAATTAATAATTTTTTTCCCCAACTAATATATATTTAGGTTTCGTTTTGGACGGCTTTATTATTATTTCTTAAAACAGATTTTTAGTAAAAAATTTTAATTTTAGAACTAAAAAAGTGCTTTAAGAAGCCCTAAGAAAGCCATTTCAAACGAATCCTTACTCTCTTGAGGTCATTATAAGGATTTTTTTATTTTTTTAAAACATTTAGGCTAATTAAGACAAATTAATGCACATATTATATACATGAGACTCATATTCAAAATTTCTTTGTTGATAATCAAAGCTCCTAATCATAAGAAGAAGATGAGCTGCATCTGAAAAAGTCTTTGATGATCCCTATTATTCTTTCCAAATAACTGTTGGATATTATGAGAGCAAGTACTCCTTGAATATTTTGATGCATGCTTAGTTCACCTTTTATATTTTATTGATGAAAACTTGCTTTACCTAAATAACATTATTAAACAATTTTAAAAAAAAAGCTCATTAGGTAGAAATATGATTTATTTTTAATGCTAGAAGTTGAACTTCCATAGCTAAATCGAATATAATACTAAATTTAGAATAAACTTAAAAAATTAAATCTAATATTTTGATAATTCATTAATTTAAAATAAATATGCATAATTAAATCAAATCAAATAATTGAAAATCATTTATTCGTTTTTTTTTTGAGCCAGTGAACAATTTTATAATGAATATTAGATGTTAGTGATTGATTCGATTATGAAGCTCTCCGTTGAAGAAAAAATAAGCTATTAACGGTTGGCATTGTTGTAGTTTGGTCTAAATTTTATTTATGGCGATTATTGGAACAAATCCCGGGTTCCAATAATCAACAAAAGTTTAAAGGTAAAAATATATGCCCAAAAGTTTAAAGCTAATCAACAAAAAACTTTTTTTTTTTTTTTTGAAGTTTGCTACTACCAAATTTGATTTGAATAATATTTGAACACAATTCAATCAATATTGTGACCATATGTGATAAAAATTTGATTTAAGATTGAATAAAAAATAAAACAGGGAGAAGTTTAGTCCCACATTACTTTGAGTTGTTTTAGTTTTGTTTTTATATAACTAAAAATATCATTGGAGCGTTTACAGTTCAGTGCACGCCTCTCTCCTCCCTAATGAATTTTTTTTTGTTGCTAGTGGTTTAACGAGTCACTCGATTAAGTTGGGCTATTTTGTTAAATGCTTGATTAAGTTAAGTTATTTTGTTAAACAAGTGGTTAACAAGGCGCTCATTAAAAACCTCGAAAAGCCTAAAAATGAACCAAACACAAACATGAACACGAGTTGAGCTCAAACAAGATTTTATGTCAAACGATCTAAAATAGGGATAACGAAAGCTCAACTCTTATTGAGCTGAGCTCAAGCTCAAGCTAGAGCAGGGATAAAAAAAGCTCAG